AGGATGGCTTTGTTTTATGAGTACTGAGCCCCCATCCTGCCAATCTGAGCATTAGAAACTCTCATTAAGAACTGTTGTATTTAAATTAGAGCTAATCTCAGGCACAATGCGGAGAGCGGGTGCTGGGAGGGCCCGGGGAGAAAGCTACAATTTCTTCTGCCATTGTCACTCTCTCCCAGGCCCAGATTGCTGAGCAGCCCTGGCAAATGCCTGGGATTTACTGCAGCCAGAGGGTATAATTTGCACCACGTGCAGGGAGTTAAAATACCCTTCCGGCATCCCCATTTCCAAGGGTCTGTCATGGCTGCTTTGTTTCTTCCCAAGTGCCCAGATCTGCAAGCCTGGGAATGGGGGAGGGGAGAGAGAAGCCACTCCATTCGCAGAAACAGATCTCCTGTTGGCTAAACTCTTAAGCACTGCCTCTACCTGCAGGGCTGGGATCTGAGAGCCCCGAAGAAGGCAGTAATGATAGCTAATATTTACATAGTGCTTGCTGGGGCGCCAGGCGTTATTCTTAGCACTTTAAACGAATTAACTCATCCGATGCTAGCAACAACTGTGTCAGGTAGATGTCATCACTGTCTGCACTTAGAGATGGGGAACTTAACCCGGAGAGGTTAAATTACTTGCCCAAGGTCCCTCAGCCAGTCTGAGAACCCAAGGCAGCCTGCCTCTGAGCATTTGGAGGGGCAGGTACCAGGGATGCAAAGCAGCAGAGAGACTTGCAGGACACCCCCCCGAGGAGGAGGAAAACTCTTCATCGCCCAGAGACCAGAAGGGAGTGTAGTACTGGTGCTCCATAGCCTTGTGGGATGGTGACCTGTTTCTGCGTTCCCTGTGTTGGGTGCAGCCAAAGAGTTTATGGTGCCACCAACCAGCAGGGATGAAAGGTCCTGGCCCTCCATTTTCATAGGAAATTGAGACCCAGAAAGAAGCCACCCGCGGCTCAAGTCACACTTCTAGTTACATACTAGGAGAGGTGGGCTGGGACCCAGGGATCCTCCTGACTCCCAGCCCTTTATTCTCTCCTGTCCACACAACAAGCCCAGATCCCACCACCAAGACCCCTCCATAAAGGACTGACCCTCATCCTCCTTCTGCCTCCCCCAGGACCGAGTCTGTGGCTGAGAAGATGCTGACCAATTGGTTTGCTTTCCTCCTGCATAAGTTCCTCAAGGTGAGGGGAGTGAGATGAGTCCAGAGCTGGGAGCATAAGCCTGGCTTCCAGGGTTGCATGGGGGTCCCCACCCTGAGGAACAGGGACTCCTGGGCCTGGATGCTCCCAAGCAAAGCAGGCCAAGGAGGTCTTTCCCACTGCCTCTGCTCCAGAGGCAGAAAAGAGGGACCCAAGCCCATCCTCCCATGCCTCGCTTGTGTCCCTAGGAGTGCGCGGGGGAACCGCTCTTCATGCTGTACTGCGCCATCAAACAGCAGATGGAGAAGGGCCCCATCGATGCCATCACAGGCGAGGCCCGCTACTCCCTGAGCGAGGACAAGCTCATTCGGCAGCAGATCGAATACAAGACCCTGGTGAGGAGGCCACACGCTCAGGGGACAGCACATGCACCTCCTGCTCTCATCCATACTCTACCTTCTGACCCCAGAGGCAGTCTGTGGGGATCAGCACAGAGGTGGAGGGATCAGTCTGGGGCAAGCCCAAGGGGTATGTGAAATGTAGCAAGGTCAAGACTCTCCTGGGATCCCCTCTCCCCATTTCATTTGGTGAGCCTTAAGAGAGCTCTATGCCTCCACTTACCCTAGATAATATCGGGGGAAGAAAAAAGGTCACTCCACCCTAGGAATGGGGTAATTACCATCATCACTGATGCGCTGATTCCTAGTGGAGAAACTTTGGGGAAGTGTGAGACCAGCCGCTGATGCACCCGGAACCATCTTTGAACCCCTCGGGTGCCTCAATCCAGGATCCTAGTCCCCCCTCAACCACTGGTGAGCTAGAGTAGAGTCCTGTTTCTTTGGGAAAGAAGGAGTGGACATAGTGACTAGGCTGCCATGTGGCAGATGGCAGGAAGGTAAGAGAAACTGAGGCAAAGAACAAAGCCTTATTTCTCCTACAAGGAGAAGAGAGCAAACCTTGGAAAAAGAAGATTCTGAGTCCTCAACCCCTCTGCCTCAAACTGTCCTTCCAACTGTCTGCTCACCCTCGATCCCCACCTTGTAGATCCTGAACTGTGTCAACCCCGACAATGAGAACAGTCCTGAGATCCCAGTGAAGGTGCTGAACTGCGACACCATCACACAAGTCAAGGAGAAGATCCTCGACGCCGTGTATAAGAATGTGCCCTACTCCCAGCGGCCCAGGGCCGTGGACATGGACTTGGGTAGGAAGCCTGGCCCTGGAGTGTGAGGGTGAGGGGAGACCTGTGGCTTCCTGGAGGGCATTCAGGTCATGAGAGGGGTGGGAAGACATGAAGCTCTGCCCTAACCTTCCCACTCCCCTCCCGGGAGTGACTGGGTCCTGGCCAGGTGAGGGCCACAGGCAGTGCTCCTCCCTCCTGGCACTGCCTGCTCAGGCATGCCCGTCCGTCTCTGCAGAAGCCCACACATCCTCCCCTGCTCCCCTGACTCCATGGAATTCTGAATGTCTCTGAGCTCTATCAATGACCTCAGCTGGAGAGAGCCAGGGTTGGCACAGACCAAGTGGCCCTGGCTCTGCCCCCTCATGCCACATGCATCACCTTCTCTACCCAGAATGGCGCCAAGGCCGGATCGCCCGAGTCGTGCTGCAGGATGAGGACATCACTACCAAGATTGAGGGCGACTGGAAGCGGCTCAACACCCTGATGCATTACCAGGTAGAGTGGGTGTTCCTTTGTTTTTTTTACGATTTATTATTATTATTATTATTATTATTATTAGTTGTTCAAAACTGAGTGGGTGTTCCTTTCCACAGGAGCTCCGCCTCAAGACCTTTAGCATCCCAGAATGTCCCTTTCCCTCTAAACTTTGCTTTATTAGCTCAGAAGCCTAAAAGGGATTTTCTTCTCTTCCTTTTCTTCCTCTCCCCTAATGCTGGGGCAGAGATTCTCATTAGATTGGGGAACGTTTAAAAAAAAAAAAAAAAAAACTTGTAAAAAAACATGAGTCCTGAGACTCCACCTTCAAAACAGCTGTAACGGGGGGTCAGGAGCAAGGTGTAGGCATTTCTATTATCTCTGCATATACAGAAGGCCCTGCATATTACAAAGTCCTTCACCTGGACAACTATCTTAAGATGCCTGGCACTTTCTCTCTTTGGCCTCTTACTCTTGTAGCCAATGTTCTGGCTTGCAGTTTAGCTGGGAATTGGATGGGCTTGCCTTCAGGTCTTACATTCTGCCACTTACTAACTGGTGTCCTCAGAAAAGTTACTTAAGCTCTCTTTCTCCTCTCCTGTAAAAGGTGGCTTCTAGCAATCCCTGCCCCATACAGACATGTGGACTAGTTAAATGTCGAAGGTGCAATGTTGATATACTGGCAGACACACTCAATGAATAGTCCAAAAAAAATCCAGCAGAGAACACAGGATCCAGGAACACCCACTCCCACCTCCCCTTCCCTCCCACGGGAAGTGCTCACAGCTGTGGGGGGGTCTCTGTAAGATTAAGCACAGGTAGACAGACTGAGATTCAGGAAAAATACTAAAATAGAAACTGGAAATGAGAGACACCAAGGGAAATTAAACCAACCAGAGGAAGTGCCTCAGGCTGCAAGACCCATGGGATTGTCTGATTAATAATATCCTCCTATGTCCCTGTCTCACAAAGGGAGACGTGCAGAAAGGCTGGCAGGCTGGGCTTGCAAACGCTGAGCTGCCAATGACCAGGATGCTGGGAGGCCCTGGAGCTGGCCGGGAGCCTCGAGATTACAGAGGAGGCTGGGGGCCACTGGGGATAACCCAACTGCTCTTTTCTGGGCTCCATCACCCTCTCTGACCATCATCCCCTAAGTGGCACCCTGCCTGGACCCCAGCCCCACATGGAGTGAGGATAGTTGTAGAAGGGAAGAACTAAGGTTTGGGGAGCTGTATTTAAACCCCACCTCCCCACTCATTGGGCATGATTTTAATCTCTCCCAACCTGGGGATTGTCATCTGCAAAATGAAGATTATAACCCTGATTGGTGAAGGTATGAAGGTGGCTGGAAGGGTTAGAAACAACAGGTGACGTCCCCAAGGATGCAGCTATGATCACTCCCTGTTAATTCTACACATGTATGCACACACACCATCACCCCATGTGGTTAGTGCATCCTGTAGAATGATTGTAATGAACCAGTAAGAGCTGAATAAGAAAGTGCAAAAGAGAATAGTACTATGCACCCAAATCCCACATCTAAAGGGCAGGAGTAGGGTTTGTCTGCCTCTGTGTCTGCTGCCCTAATGCTGGGCTGCCCATCCTATGGCTTCCAACCAGAAGAAAGGAATATCCTGTTCTAATGGTGCTCATCATACAAAGCACTTCCAATTCCCTGATGTCATTTATCATTCATGTATTCATTCGTTCCTCAAATATTTACTGAGCTTTGCTGAGTGTGAGGTACTTCCCACATGCTAGCCCAGAGTGACAGGGACAGCAAAGACTCTTCTTCCCTTTGGAATAGGATGGTAATGACCAGGATGATGATGATGATGATGATGATGATGATGATGATGCTCATAATGGCAACACTAATGCCAATGCTTGCTGAGTGCTCACTGGGCACCAAGCACCATGTTTAGCCTTTATGTGTTTTAATTCCTTTGCTAATTCCCACAATAATGATTATTAGACCCGAGTATTGTCCACATTGACAAATGAGATCACTGAGGTCCAGAAGGTTAATTCATCCAGCTGGGAAATGGCAGAACCTCAGTCAGACCCAGCGAGATACTTTGAACACAGACTTGCGCTGCCTGTGGCTTCAGAGAGAGAGAGAGAAAAACCAAGGACAACAGAGATTTAGTGACTAGATCCGGAATTGAGCTGAACCATGGTGATGTGAGTCACCTTGTGGATCTTCCTTTTAGGTGACAGCAAACCACAAATAATCTAATCTGTTCGCCCCACGAGTGTAATGCCCCTGCCTCTGCTGAGCTTCCAGAGTACCATTTCTGGGCTGTTGGTGGCAAGAAGAATTTCTGAAAGGCAGAGGTAGAGAGTCTCCCTGAGTCCTAGACCAGATACTAATGATGGCAACTGCTGGCAAGTCTAGAGCGTTTCCCCCAGCTTGGAAGTCATAGAGTGCAGACCTTCCGGGCATCAGACTAGCACTGAGAAGGGCTCAGTACCCTGGAACTCTACACCTTCAAGTCAAGCATTGCCCTCTCTTTACCCTCCCTGGAGTCAAAGGTCCTTGGAGCCCCTACAGAAGAAAATCTGCATAATCTTAATTAACAAAGAGATGTTAAAAACTGCCTGGGCTCCTGCAGATTTATAGGGAGGGTAAAATTAAACACCATCACTAAAACCGGCTATCAGGGAATCTCGTTAGCACTAATGTTCATTTATAGTTTGACTTCCCAACATTTAATTCTTTTTTGGTGGGAGAGAGGGACTGACAATTTAAGACCCAGAAAGATGGTTTTATGGCTGGTGCAGCTATAAATCAAACTTATAAAGTTCATAAAAATTGTTAAAATAAAAAATGGTTTAATAGGAATGTTTTATGGCCCATAACATTATTATAGCTGTTTTATTCCCTCTGCGTTAGGGGTTTAATTGGATCGCCACAATTCTGGGGATTCTCCGTTTTTATTGGATGGAGGGTAATCTTAAATCAAAATGGCCCCAAATGTCTTCAATATGGCGCCTCATTTATCAGCCCTTTCCCTACAGGATGAGTCCTGAGCCTGGCATCCTTACAGAGGATGGGGCAAGACACTATCTTTCTGACTCCCCAAGGGCAGCTACCTTTGTGCTAAAACTGTTCAAGGTGGCCCAGGCATAATGGGAACCAGGCCAGAATGAAATCAGAGCCTAAAGGGAAAATGGGCTTCAGACCAGTGTGACTGGAAATAAAATCCCAAATTAGGATATATAAAGAGGATATGTGTTCTGGAGCCTGACACATCTGGCTACAAATATTGGCTTTACCTTGTATTAGTAATGTGACCCTGACGCCACCCTTCCATCTCTTCATCTGTAAAATGGGAATAATTATCTGGTACTCCCAAGGTTGATGGGAGGCCACAGGGGACAGCCGTGCAGCAGAAATAGAGAACAAGCCTCCCACGCAAGTCACATGTTTAATTTTAAATGTCTGTTAGCCACGTTAACGAAGCAAAAGTAAATAGATGAAGTTAACAATGTATTTTGTTTAACCCAGTCAGTCTAAAATCATTGTTGTTTCAATGTGTGAGAAATATAAAAATCACTGAGATAGTTTATATTCTTTTATCCATACTCAATCATTGACTCTCGTGTGTTTTGTACATTTTTAGCACCTTTCAACTCAGACAGTTAGAATGTGTCTCAGTTGGGGCTAACTATGTTTCAGGTGCTTGATAGCCACATATTATAAGAAGCTGCCCTATTGAGCCAAGCTGTTCTGGTCCAATAAAAAGTCAGAAACAGTACTAGTTATTGATAGTATTCCTGAACTTCTTCCTCTCTACCCACTCCTCTCCCATAACCCTCTGGAATAACCTGGCTGTTTCACCTACCCAAGACACCTATATTCACACACACTGTACCTTTTGTACCATTCTCAGGTATCAGACAGGTCGGTGGTAGCTCTGGTCCCCAAACAGACCTCCTCCTACAACATCCCTGCCTCTGCCAGCATCTCCAGGACGTCCATCAGCAGATACGGTGGGTACCACAAAGGCAGTTTGGGCAGCTCAGGATGGAGGCTTCTGCCACTCTCCAGGGACCACTAACCACCCCTCCTCACAGCAGGAAGTTCCTGCTGCTGCCTGGCCTCCTTTAAAGTCACTCACTCACTTGTCCCTAGTCCAGTAATTCTTGGTGCTTCACCTCCAAACAGTGGGAGCAGGTGGCACCATCTGTCCTTCCTTTGATATCCCAGCCCTGGTGAGGGACTCAGAGTGGCCGGGAATAGGGAGGTACCTGGTGGGAGATTCATACATCCCAGTTTAGGTGAGCCAGTCCCAGTTGATGCCTCTTGTCCTGGCTGAATGATGAATAGCATCCTGTTTTATTCTGGAAAATTGTCCCGACTTGGACAATACATTGACCATCATGGTCTTTCCACTCCTGAGGAATGTTGGGCCTCTGAATGTTCTCAGAAAGACACCACAGGACAAAACCCAGCAGCTCCAAATGGGCTCAGGAAATGTCACATTGCAGGGCCCAAGAATAAAGGGACCCGTTGATTCCCAAAAGGATCATTACAGCTTGCAACTCTTTAGTATCCATAGTTTTACTAAAGTACCTGCCGAAGTAACCTGTTGACATTTTACCTGTTGATTATTCATTGCTGGAAGTATCAGAGGAGGGGGCTTACCAATCCCCCAGGGTCTCTCTAGTTCATGGAATTTCTAAACCTCTTTCTAAAAAAGACGTCAGGCTCCTCTGTCCTCATGACAACTAAGGACTCCTAAAATAATCCACCAAATATGAGGTCCCAACGGTCTCCTCCCAATTGAAACAAGTTTGTTCTGAGTGAATGCAGCAGATGGGCAGGATTTGGGGAGGATGCTGCAAGCAGGGCACTGCCTCGGTCACTCACAGCCCTTCTCTGCTCCTTCTCCTCAGACTCCTCCTTCAGGTACACAGGCAGTCCCGACAGCCTGCGGTCCAGAGCCCCCATGATCACCCCAGACCTGGAGAGCGGGGTCAAGGTGTGGCATCTGGTGAAGAACCATGACCATGGTGACCAGAAGGAAGGTGACCGGGGCAGCAAGATGGTGTCTGAGATCTACCTGACTCGGCTACTGGCCACCAAGGTAACTTCTGCTTTCCTCAGGTCAGGGAGGGCTCCTCAGAGAGGCATGTCCTGCCCCTCCACACACAGGAAGGAGATCATAGCATGTGTTCTTTAAGGGGACCCATTCAAATGACCCCTGGTCTAGGACCCTGGGGAGGGCTTCCAGAGAATCAGGCCACTGCTATTCTCTGCCCTTTGGCAAAAACAGCAATGGTACCATTGCCTTCTGCCCACTCTCAAGACTCCATTATCCTTCAGAGGAGCAACTCTCTCCCTTAGGAAGACACTTAAGGTTTCTTGTCTGTCTTAACTGAACAGATGTGCCAACCTCCGTTGTCACTGCCTTTCCACTCCCTTTTGGCCACAATGCAAGAGAAAGCACAAGGCCCCATCCAGTAATCCAAGGGAAAGCCCCCTCCCCGACCCCATTCCATCTGTCCCCACATATTGATGAAAGTTATTGTCTTTAGCCTTCCTAGCTGAGAACAAGATAAGCCTCTAAGGATGGCGATCACATGGCCTGCATTTTCCAGGGCAAGTTAGATTTAAATTCTCTGCCCCTAAAACAATGCTTCTGAGATCCTCATATCATGGCATCGGACTTAAAGCTCCCAGACTTGCTCTCAGAATGTCCAAGAACTACTTTATTAGACCCTGTATCTCCATTTTGCTATGCATAATATGCTCAGCATACCAATAAGAGACCAGCAAAGAGACACTAGGAAATGTTTCACTGATTCTCAGAGGTGTGGGACTCCAGCCCAGTCTTGTCCCTGCCCTGGAGACCCTTCAAAGTTTTCCGGTCCTCGCTGTACCTGGGTGTTCTGAAATCTAAATGTTCACTCCTCAGCTCATGCTTCAGACCTCATCTGTCCAAGACCACTGATATTTGAAGGCTTTTCATATTTCCTATCAGACCCTCCGTAGTCCTGTCCAGTTCTCCAACTTGATCCTCGGATGCCCTCTACAGATGGGGCTGCAGCCTGTGCCCTCCTCTTCACCCTGGAAAGCCTGGACTCAGAACCCTTCCTCTCTTCCTCAAAGGCACTAAGCCCACACCCTACAGGACATAAGTGTGGCATGCTGTTACAAATTGGAGGAGACATTCTTCCCAGAGATCCCCAGCCCATTCAGTTCCTCCTGCCTCCAGGACGCCGCAGCTAGTACCTTTCTGCACCTTTGCCACATTGCACAGCCTCACATTACAGACAAATTTTCAAGGCAGAATGGATCCAAGCACCATCTGGTATGCCTGTCTGCTTCCTGCCACTGCCTCCCCCTTCACCTCACACTGTCCCTCCACTCCTCCCTCAGGGCACCCTCCAGAAGTTCGTGGACGATTTGTTTGAGACCTTGTTCAGCACTGTGCACCGGGGCAGCGCACTCCCCCTGGCCATCAAATACATGTTTGATTTCCTGGATGAGCAGGCAGACAGACACAGCATCCACGACACAGATGTGCGACACACCTGGAAGAGCAACTGGTAACCCCTAGGGGAGCTCAGTGGGAGGTGCAGCCTGGAGAGGCAGGGAACAGCAGGGACCCTGGAGATGAGAGGGCAGCCTGATCCCAAACTGGGCCTGGGTGATGGGAGGCTCCTAGAACATGCAACACACACTTGCTCTGCAGAGCCAGCATGGTCTCCAGGCTGCCTGCTCCAAGCAGGGCCTACCCGGCATGAGCTCTGCACATACACTGGAGCTCTGCCCTTTGAACCCGAGATCCTTCCCCAGAGAGAGCCCCGCTCCTCTGACCTCTCGTTCTTAGGAAAAGAGAGCTGGGGGAACCTAGGCAAAGAGCCACATTTGAAACCTGTAGCAGAGCTTCAGAGCCAGGCTTCTTCGGAGAAGGCACTTCCTGAGATGGGAGCCCGGGTGAAGTTTGGTCAGTGCCGAGAGGGAACACACACCTGCTATCGACCTGAGCCCACAAACTAAGGATTCACTGGGAAACCATCTCTTAGGGACAAGTTACTACCCTGGCACCACAGCTTCAGGAAGCAGCAGGCAGAATGTGCTGCAAACAAGACTGTCTTCCCTAGAGTCTCCTCTACCCCAGACCAGCAGTGGGAGAAGCAGCTCCTCAGGCCCCTGGCATGAGACCTTTCCCTCCTAGGTTTTGAACCTGGGCCACAAAACATGCTAAGGACCGACTTTTAGGTCAGACAGGGCCTGGCCAAGAGCCGGACTTAAAAGGCTCCTTCGGCAAGAGCACAGGGAGGGGAGATCCGGGCACTTGGCTCGGGCAGGCGGCCCACACAGCTGTCTGGAGTCAACGATCTCCTCAGAGAACAGAGCCGACACAGATGGGCCCAGGCTGTTATTTGGGAATCAAAAGTCCTAGCAACCAACAAAACACTTCGAAAAGAGCCAACCCCAAACCCATATATTCCTTCCTTGTCCAGGGCCCTGAGTCCTCCTAAGTCTACAGCTTTGATTGCCGTATGGCCATGGGGTAAGGAGCCCACAGTGCACTATGCCAGGATCGGCTTTCTGTCTGCATTTCTCAGGGCAGAACCCCACTATCTCCTTGGCTTTGGAGGATTCCCAGCTCAATTCCAGGAATGGGTGATTTGGGGGAAATCGAGAGAAGGTTCTGGGTTATTCTCATCTTTGTGCCTCCTATAGACTGGCCAGGCCAAATAATAGAAACGCACTGTCCTGGTGTTGTGGTGGGGAAAGTCCAAATAGCAAATGTCCAAGGACAGATGATCAGAAGCCCCCAGAGCTGCCCGGACTCAGCTGAGGCGGCTTCTCCTGGGTCACGGGAAAGTGAGCCATCCTGCTGCACATTGATGGAAGGGCTTGGGGTGGGGAACGCTGACCTTTCCCAAGACCTGGCACGATGAAGACATTTGGGAACATCTGGGTCTGAGAGAGTCAAGAGAAGTTGAAGAAGGGGAAAAGAGGGGAAGCTAGGGACGTCACTCAGGCTAGAAGGACAAGCCTGGGGACAGGGCTCACTCCACACAGGCACCAAAAGAGTTAAGGCCGGAAGGCAGCTGGAAGAGAAGGCAGAGTTGAGAAAGAGGCAAAACAGCAGCTGTTCTGGTTTTGAAGGAGGGTAAATGGGCTTATCCGCCTTATGGCCCCAGGAGCAGGGAAAGCTCATTCCCCTCTGCTTATAAATTCCTGAATCGCAGAAGGAAGTCTCCTAACTACTGATGGGTTCCTCTTGGGGTGGGAAAAGCTCTGTGCTACAGTAAGCCATTCCCAGGGTGCCAACAATGGCCTCCTCTCCTCCCTCTGCCCCTGCCCAGACACAAGAAAGCCCTGGGGAGAGTCGTGAAAGAATGTCCCCCAGGGGAGCCCATTCCTCGGCCCAGCCAGGCAGGCCAGCCCTGGGAAGCAGCTCCAGCAGCCGGCCTGGGCGGGGAGGGCAGGTGGTGCCCTTTGTGCCCGCTCTCAGGCAGTGCCTGGGGCTGCCGGCTGCATCCTTGCGCACAATGGCCACCAGCACTGTGAGGGGACTCTAGGAGCCTGGTGGCTTTGTTTGAAGCCCTGAGAAAATCATGATGTCCTGTGTACTCGGGCTTCCCTTGGGACACGGAAGCCTTCAGAAAAGCCTGCCAAGAGGGAACCGGGTCCAGCCACGCCCACTCCTCAGTTGTCAGGGAACAGGGTCAGTGCCCTGTTAAGGTACAATGCCCCTCTCCTTTTCTCCCAGGGTCAGCAACAGCTTGGGCTGAATGAGCAGCCCAGCGAGGTCCATTTTTCCTGATTTCATCCACTTGCCTTTTGGATAGGCCATTTGACATTTGGGGGTGAGGGGAGGAATATTAGTGGACGGCATCAAGGTCACGGCCAAAGTGCATTCTCAGGTGTGCTCTGCCTTTTTCCGCAGCCTCCCTCTGCGCTTCTGGGTGAACGTCATCAAGAACCCCCAGTTTGTATTTGACATCCACAAGGGCAGCATCACGGACGCCTGCCTCTCTGTGGTGGCCCAGACCTTCATGGACTCCTGCTCCACGTCAGAGCACAGGCTGGGCAAGGACTCCCCCTCCAACAAGCTGCTCTATGCCAAGGACATCCCCAGCTACAAGAGCTGGGTGGAGAGGTCAGTAGCTCCTCGGGACAGGCAGGCGTGGTCTCTCTGCTGCACTGCCTGCCCTGTGGCATCAATGAGGATGCTCTACTGGCGATCCCTTTAGACTTCTTGGTCCCCTCCTTCTTCTAAACTTCCTACTGTGGGGAGGAAGGGTGGCTTTACGCCCTTGGAGGTCTGATTGTTATCATCCTAATTACCATTCATGGAGTTCTTGCTAAGCATCCTGCACTGTGTGATAAGGGTTTTGTACGTATCATCTCATTCAAATGCTCAGTGGACTTGGAAAGTAGCTATTATTATCCCCATTATTATTATCTGTGGCACAGAGAAGTTGCCCAAGATGACCATCCAGCAGAAAGCAGAGATGGGATTTGAACATGAGAAGTATGGCCAGAGTCTTGGCTTTTCTGCTGGGCATTGAGGCTAAGAGTGCTCAGCTGGGCGGTGTCTCTTGGAGACTCTGGCCATAGGCATCAGCCTCAACTTGAGGCCAGAGGCAGCAGAAGACACATCAGAGGAGACATGAGAAGACAGGAACAACTGGGGACATCTAATGCTAACAGGGGGCCCCAGGGCCAGGGTTGGTTTGGGCAAATTTTGCTGAGTCCCCATCAAGGACCTTGTCTTATCTATGGCAGATACTATGCAGACATTGCCAAGCTCCCAGCCATCAGCGACCAGGACATGAACGCCTACCTCGCGGAGCAGTCACGCCTGCACGCTGTGGAGTTCAACATGCTGAGCGCCCTCAATGAGATCTACTCTTATGTCAGCAAGTATAGTGAGGAGGTAAGACAGGGCCCTAAAAGGGACAGAAACCCACATTGCAGGAAGCAAGGCCCTTAAGCAGGAAGTTTGACTCAGTCCTTAAATAACAATAGAGGGTAATTTACAAAACTGCTCACGGAGTCAAAAAGCCCATAAGCTCAAAATCATTGTCATTCCTTTATAAGGCAGCCTAACCTCTGCTGATTCACTGAACACTTGCTTATATGCACATCATTGTCTTTCAGTCATTGTTAGCACAATAAATGGCATTTTTAATAATTGAATTGTTTTCCAATTCAAAGTGTTGTATGGTGAATTTCATTCTTTCTTAAACAATGAATCAAAGTATTTTGCACTTAGGCAGATCCTGTCAGTCACATTGCAGAAAGACAGGTGGACCTTAACATAAATAGAGGTTCAATAGAAAGCTTAGGGAGATTGAGAAGTCATGCATTAACATTGAACCTGAAAGAAGCAGCAGCAGGAGTAGTATTAATAATAATAATAATAATAATTAACACATAATGCTTCCTATTTGCCCTATATGCCAAATATTATATGAAACACTTTATATATATGGACATACATATATTTTTTCATGTGCATCTATAAATGTATGCTTATATACATTCACCCACTATGTGAAGACCTTTCTGTCATCAACCAATCTCATGTATGATAGTGATCCCAAGAGATTTTAATGGAAGCTAAAAAATCCCTCTGTGGCCTCATAGCATCCTAATGCCATGAAGTACTGCCCAGGTGTAATTTGCAGGGATGTCAGTATAAACAACCCTACTGTGCTGCCAGTCGTATAAAAATATAGTGCATGCCATTAGGTACATCACGTAATACTTGATAATAAACAATTGTGTTACATCATAATTTATGTTATATCATAATTTTAGAGTACATTTCTTCTACTTAAAAAGTTTACGTGCCGTGGAGCACACCTGTAATCCCAGCAGCATGGGAGGCAGAGGCAGGAGAATCTCAAGTTCAAAGCCAGCCTCAGCAAAAGGAAGGTGCTAAAGCAACTCAGTGAGACCCTGTCTCTAAAAAGAATACGAAATATGGCTGGAGATGTGGCTCAGTGGTTGAGTGCCCCTGAGTTCAATTCCCCCATATCCCTCACTCCCCCCTCCAAAAGTTTACAGTGTAACACTGAACCACGTCACTCGAGCAGCAACATCATACAACACCTCTCTTGATGGCAACCTTTTCTCTTGTGCTTGATCTCATGTTTGTATGCATACACTCTAGGATGTTTGCATGATGACAAAACGCAACAAACCACTCCGCTTCTCAGAAAGTATCCTTGCCGCTGAGCAAAGCCTGACTGTGTGTGTATTCATTCCATTAATCATTTCAGTTGTTTAAGGTTCTGTTCATTAAGGCAGAATGGAAAGCTAGGTGGATGGGCGAAGGGTGGGGAACTCTAGGAAGTGGTGTGTTTTATGCCGAGTCTCGATATCATTCTCCTTTGTTCTGTCCCTCAGCTCATTGGGGCACTAGAGCAGGACGAGCAGGCCCGGCGGCAGCGGCTGGCTTACAAGGTGGAGCAGCTCATTAGTGCCATGTCCATTGAGAGCTGAGAGGAGGGGACCGAATTCCTGGGAAGATGGACCCACACAAGCTGTCACGCTGGAGTCTCAGAAGGAAGGACAGTAAAGGGGATCAGGCCCAAGAGCTGGCAGCCCCTGAGATCCCACCCCGGGATGAGGGGAGGGCCCCTCTCCTGACGCCAGCAGGTTTCCTCACAGCCAGTTCCTGCCAGGAAAGACCGGGGGCACCATTCATCCACAGCCAGAACAAGAGACGAAGACCGGCCAGGAGAAGGTGGCTCTTCAAGCTGGAGCGGGGGACAGTCCTGCCTCCATAACTGCTGCTTTGCATGAAAACTCATTTGATGTATATTGGGGAAATAATGAGAACTTTATTTAATTTTTTTTAAGAAAAACGGAAAAAAAAAAAAACAGAAATAAAACAAAAAGCTGCCCTGTTCATCCCGTCCAACTTTTGTTTAATTCTGATTTCTGCCCCTGTCTGTCCCCTCGTCTCTCTCCTTCTTCATGTAACTCCTCTTTCTGAATGTCAGGAAAAGCCTGCAAAGAGATGCTGAGAGAAACTGAGCGGGAAAATGGTCTCCTTTCCTGTGATGAAAACACAAAAAATAAAAAATAAAAAGAGGAAGAGAATAAATGAGCACAAGTTCAAACCAAACACTTCGCAAACGGAGAGGCCAGTACAACCGGTAGTCCTCCCAAAGACCAGAAGAGCGTGGGGACTGCAGAACTTTGCACAGAACTGCAAAGCCATCCGGTGGCTGCGCCTGGCTGGCAGGAAGCTGAGCTTTACCTACACACACCTGCGGATTCTCATCTCTTGAGAGGAGGGCGGTATCTGTATCGTACCAATGCTTTTTGCTACTGTTTTTGGTTTATTTAATCCTAACCTTCAACAAATAAGGATCTGGCCTTGGGTTCTTTTCCTTTTGGTTTTCCTAAAGTTAATATGGGAAGTGGGAAAGGTCGGCTTCTCCCAGACCAGACACCTGGCCTCCCTGAGGATGCTGAGCGGCTCTGCCCTACAACAGTCCCTGTCACAACCCAGGCACCCTGGGGAACGGATGGCTTGGAGGATGTGCAGAACAGACCTCCAGATGGTACCCTTTGGGAATTGAATTGAGGACACAGGTGTTTGGCACTGGATTCCATTCCAATCATCTGGTGGTTTCTGGCAATTAAACAGAAAGCAAAAATCAAACACTGTTTACAGCAAGCAATACTTGAAGAGCATAGGTTTAAGAAGCTTCGGTATTTATTGTTACACTTTCTTTCATTCTCTCGTGCCTGGAGAGGGGAGACAACCCTTCGGTCATATGCGGACATATTTGGAAGCTCCTGGCCACCTGAGCTTACCGTACCTGCTTCAATAGAAATGACTGCAACAACATTGCTGTCTTCTGCCTCTCATGTGTGTTGGAAGGACAAGCAGATGGTTTCTCCATGGGCCCCATTCCTATTCTTTCTCCTGTGGACACCTAAAAACATGGACAGCCAGATCTTCTGAGTGCAATTTTCCAACAGAGACTAAATCTTCATGCTTAGGTCCAGAAACACCCAAAAAAGCTAGTGGGAATTACCCAGAGGAAGACAGCTCTATGGTAACAGGACATTGGTGACTGGAGTAGCCATCAAGAAGCCCAGGCCTCCCACCTTGGCATAAATCCAACTTCTCTGCAGGCAATCTTGCAAGAGAAAGGCCCAGGGTGGAGAGGAAGAGGCCTGAGAGCAACACTCTCCCCTTCCCACCTTTTGCTCTTCAAGGGGTCAGGAATCCCAGATTGCAATGTTGGGAAACTGGACCAGCTGCCCCAAGAGAGAGAGACCAGAGTCATTTCCTCTGTCATTAACTCTGGGCCCCAGCTTCTCTGTGCCCTGCTATACCTCCAGGCAATTCCAGTTTCCAAAGGCTCTGCTGACCACATGTGATTCCCAGGAAAGGGCTGGGGGAAGAGAGCTCAGAGAGCTGGCTTCCATCCTGGGTGTGTGGCTTTGGATCGCTGTCTAAGCACACAGCGGACGTCGCCTGGTCTCTTCAGCTCCAGTTTCTTGCCTGAATGCAGCTGACAAATGGGAAGAGAAAAGCATTCAGCAAAACACTCAGGAAACTTGCTGTTTTCATTATAATTCACAACCAGCCATGCCAAGGCCACTTTCTTCTGATAATCTACTTCTGTTAAAATTTCTTGGGGCCCTATTAATAGCCTGAAAGAAATACTAATGACTGGCCTTCCACGCTAAGCCAAAGTGTTTGCTCTTCACAGCACCCAAAGCTTATCAGCTCAGAGCCCATAATTTATGGAAATGAAAGGAGAAGAGATATGGGCAAGAAGAATGTGAGCGGGAGACATTGTACGGCCCATGAAAAATTCCATCCCACCCTGATTTCACTGCTGAGCTCCATGCGAATGGTTTCCTGATGGCACTGCTATTCAAGCTGGCAACTAAGTCTTTGTTACCCCCAAGAAGTAAAAGAAAGTCAGATTTCTCGTTGAACAGCATCTTGCCCAACCCTCACTTCTGTGCATCTACCTGGTGTCTCCCAGCAGCCACTCTGGGCGACCCCTCACTGCACCTGGGATGCTTCCTTGAAGGTGTGTGGAGAGTGTGGAGAATGGGGGGTGGGGTGTAGCTGGCTGGAGAGGGGTGAGGAAAGAAGCCAGGGCCAGCTGTGAGTGGCCTGGCCACAATTCTCAGGATTCCATGAGAGGGTTGGGGAACTTGAGCTTGCAAAGGAAATGGCAGAGAAATGTCCTTAAGGAGACAATTAAGAAAAAGGAAAATTCAGCTGGACACAGGCCAACCACGAGGGCAAATGGTTGTAGAACTTTGACTCAGTTCTAGCTTCTCACCTAACACCTCCTCCACCAACTCCTTGCTTTAAACCACCAAGAACCTATGGAGTCCACACCCTTGAACTGGAGAGGAGAGGGAGTTGGGTGATCGCTCTTCTTGCTATTATCCAATTTTTGTCTCGTGAAAGAAGTATTAAAGCCACAGCTCCTCCCTATTAGAAGCCATCCATTTTGGGCGAAGACAGGAAGTCTCTCTCTTTAGTCTATCCAACTCTGCTTTGTTTCATTGACCTGCTCAAGACAATTCTCTGGAAAAGGAACAGGACTCCAGAAAGGTTTGGCTAGACAGAGGATGCCAATGGACAAGATGGGGACCAGATCCCTCCGGCTGGACCCTATTGCCACCTCCCACCCGCTGCATGGGTCAGGTGCTTCTGTGTTGGCTGTCCTACCTCTTTGCATAGCGCGTCTCTCAAAACCATTTCTGATCCGCCTCTCCTTACACAGATCAGTCATTTAAAGCATGAATGAGCTGTGAACCTCACTGGAGGGAGGTAACCATTCCTGCATCCATTCATTTGAGGAATCTTGAGCAGCATCTATCTGCCAGGCACTGCTCTAGGTGATGGAAAGCAGCCATGAGCAAGACCAAGAAAGTCCTTCTAGCAAATGTATATTCTTCAGGCTGCCTGTTCCTGCCACCAAGAAGCAGGCACAGGTCTCCCCAACTAGCAGAGGGCGCCATTTGCATACAAAAGGGGATGCAGTGAGGGAAGAAAGCGACCCACCCAGCTGCCTTACCTTAGCCTGGGGACGTTCCCCCAGCACTGAGAGCTGCTCTCTTTTCTACTGCCACTGGCTCTTCTAGTGGCACCTCCCCTGCTGCTTGAGCTCCTGACCTTCCCTCAATTCCACCAAATGAGGACAAGAAATAGCAATCAAGGCCTCTGGACCTGCTGAGCACAAAGCAGAAGCAACGGGGGGGCAGGGGTGTGCAAAGACTATAAAATGACCTGGACCAAACAAGCAAAGAATGTTGGCCAGCCCCTGGCTAATCAATCTTCAGGAGTATCCCAGTCGTCACACACCTGTCCCTATTACCTGCTGCCTGGAAACACTGAGCCCACACCTCCTGAGGCCCTTTTGTTTTTCCTAGCCACACTGTGTCATGGTGAGACTCCTGGGACCTGGACACAAGGAAGAATTGAGATGCAGAGGGCTCTGTGGGTGAGAACATGTAAAGTGGCCTCATGGTCACAGGGCTGTGGGAGCTGATCCCAGGGGGGTCAGGGGACTTGGGAGGTGAAGTTCAAGGCCTTCTGATGCCCCATCTCAGGAATGTGCTTGGTGAGAGAGAACAGTGGCATTCTTTTCATAACTCCGCAGTCTCTTTTCCCCATCTCTATCCTTTCTCCTGGTTTCCCCAGAGTGAAGTTTTAGCATCTGGGGCTCAGAGATGGGTGCCCGGAAATGAAGGATGAAGTTTCACTCTTGGTACATTCAAACTAGTCCTAGGGAATGTCCTGAGAGGCCATCAAGACCTCTGCTGGTAAGACAGGGCCTCTGCCCAGTAAGCAAACTGGAGATTCCTTGGCCATTACGGCCACCACATCTCGCTGCTCCCCACAGCAAAGCTCTCTCTCCCCATGGAGCCATGTCCTCTGAGCTGCCATGCAGCCTGCTGCCCACTGCCCCATCTGAAGGAAGGTGGGACGCTTCTTCCAAAGCTCAGACAAGGTCCTCACTCTGACTTTGTTTGTCCTCCACATTGGTATCGTGGGTGGAGAGCATAATGGGGCAGGGTCCCCATCAAACCCAACAGATGTTCCTGAGCAGACAGGGAAAGAAGTGACAAGCCCTTTACACGGCAGGACTAGGGACCAGAACCCACCTGCCTTTCCGCCCCCTGCTCCTCCAACTCAGACCCACTCCCCTTGACACACTGGAATCTGTATTATATCTATTTTTAAGAAAATACAATAATGGTTGTCTGGTTTTGTTGTTTTTACAGGTGTTGTGGAATAATAAGAAAATTAAGTATTTAAAATGTTCCAATAAAATGGAATTTTTTTGTTATTCTAATATATTATCGTGTACCTATTGTAAATATGAAACACTCCTATTTTGCAAGCCAAGGACACAATTTGTACTGTTGTTATATATAAATAAAGTTTACTGGATAAAAAAAAAAAACAACAACTTACATCTTTAAATAAACGTGGTTGTTTGGCAGCA